TATTATTATGTTTTACCCTGTCTTTGTAAAATAGGCTGTAAAAAGACTGTAGTGTCCTACCATATATATTTCAGTGCACATTTTGGTTTGTTGAGATGCTGTGGCTCAGTTTCTCAGTGTGTTTGTTCAGTGCACAGCATGTTATTTTGAATGAAACAGCTTTATTAATAATCGTCCATAGACAGAGCTGTCTGTAGAAGTTGTATTTCACGTAGCAGGTCAGTCACATAGAGCACTTTTGTACAGTGTGAATATATAAATTGTACCTTTGTCCGAACACAATGGTCTATTCAAATGTACAGTGTGAGTCACCAAAGAACAAGATTTCTAAAATCACATGGTATATGTCATTGCCAAGCAAAAGGCTTCAACAAGACATAAAACTCAAAACATTAACTCCTTGGAAGCAATTCCTGCTCATTGTACTGCTACTGAAAGAAACAGAAGATAAAAACTATGAAATATACTTTACTTACAGGAAAAACATTTTACAGAAAATTACACAAAAGCCTCAAACAATAAGCATAACAATCAAATCTATCAGTATTTGTCTACTCTTTATTTCTGTGCACTCTATTACCCCTTTAACCCTTTTATCCTTTTAATCTTAAAACAAGCGAGTTAGTTATAGTCACTATATGATTGTGTGACATGTAACTGGTTTCAATTAATTTTCTTAGGTGCTTTGGGTCTTGTCTTCCTGATTCTCCTGATTGTAGTAATGAAGTACATCAGTTACATACCAAGATACTGGTTACAGTGGTTCAGTATGCAAGAATAATTCACTTGATCAAAATTTGAAGTTCAAACTTCTTAATACTGACTGTAGGTTATCATCACACATAAGGATATGTTCCTAATAGGCATACAACCACAAAAGAATATGGAACAAAAGAAATGTTATTATTAACCTGCTACAGCAGGTTAGCAAATTTTTTACACGAACATACAGGCCTTAAAAAGCTAGTAAAAAATATACTCACTTTGTTCATGCATACTGCAGCACACGATAAATTAAATGAACTCTACTGTTGTTAGTTTGTCCTGAACGTGCAGTGCTCTGAAGAGGCTAGAGTGAAACACTTTCTTCTTTAATACAACCTTTTAATAAAAAAGTAAAACACTGTTGTTTATACTGTTTATGTCATTCGTATCAGGGAAGTAATAAAAATATTTTAAATTATGAACAATAATAATAAAATTAATAACTTAATGTTCTTCACTGCTATTAAAATGCAATAATCTAAATAATTATAATTTGAATAACGAGTGCTCAATATTATTACTTATGTATGTAAAATAATATTTTTTACAGAACTAACTCTCTATGTGTTTTCCTTTTCTTCGCCAAGTTGAACAACTCCCCATTCTGTGCGGTCTGATGCTGTTGCTTCTTCTGCCTTGATTGGGTGCCCACTGCTTGCCAGCCTTCTGGACCGTTTGACCACCATTGAGCTTCATGCTGTACAACGCTGTGCAAACCTCACCCTCATGAACTGACCCTCCTGATGCTGCTGCTGCATAAACTAAAACTAATTAACCATTGCTCCACCTGTTTTCCCCATTTTGTTTTCTAATATTTTATACTAATGCTGTTTGCTATCCGGTGTCAACCAGAGGAGGATGGGTACCCCTTTTGAGTCTTGGTTCCTCTCAAGGTTTCTTCCTCTTGCTCTTGGGGAGTTTTTCCTTGCCACTGTCGCCATTGGCTTGGCCTGGATTTTTCTGTAAAGCTGCTTTGTGGCAACACCTGTTGTAAAAAGCACTATATAAATAAACTTTCACTTGACTTGACTTGAAGAGATCAAAGCCAGATCAAAGACTATCCTTTTGTTTTTTCAGTATCCGCTCAAAACAACTATCAAGTTTTAGTGTCAGAAAAAAGGAAACATATTTAACAAAATATAACACAAACCTATCAATATTTAGCTTGTCACCTTTTTACTTTTGAGCAGATACATGGTTCTATATAGCACCAAAAAGGGTCCTGCTATTGTTACAAGCTTGACATCGAACCTTTTTTGGTGCTATATAGAACCATATGCATCAATCTGAAGAACCATTTCATCATGCAGAAAACCATTTAAGCATGCAGAACGTTCTAGATAGAACTCGTGGTTCTATATAACCATTGCCTTCACTAAAGAATCCTTGAAGAACTATCTTTAGGGTGCAGAGTATGCTGTCAGCTCTTTAGACTTCTTAAATGTTTGTTCGTGATTTCTTTGTATCCATCACCCTTGTTGCTGGCTGTGCTCTCTGTCTTTTACCTTCAACATTAAGTGTTACTAAATATGAATATTTTCATTTCGTTGAGTACAATGTGAGCTTGATTTAGATACGTCGATTACTCTTTGAAGTTATTAATTACACCCAGAATGCTTTGATAAGGGTTTAGATGTGCATGAAACAAAAAGCAGGTAACTGACACATTTTTTATTTTTCATCAGAAGCATCATTTTTGTCCAGGCTTAAATTTCAGTGTCTACAGTATGACGTTTAGCTCATAACACTGACAAGTAATATTTGCTCTTGTTGCTTTTATATAGAATCACTTACAAATCCCCAGTGTTTTAAAGCTTTTGACTTCTCCTAACTGCTTTGTTTTAAAGATTTTCATTCCTCATGAGATCATCTGCATTTATGTATGCACTTAAAAAAAGATGGTTCTTCAAGGGTTCCTTAGTAAAGAAAATGGTTCTATATAGAACCATAAACACTCAAAGAACTGTTTGCATGTTTAAAGATTTCTTTGCATGGTGAAATAGTTCTTCAGATGGTTGGAGAATGTGTTGTAGATGGTTCTATATAGAACCTTTTTGAAAAGAGGTCTTCTGGTTTATAATACAAGCCTGCAACAATAACAGAATCCTTTTTGGTGCTATATAGAACCATATACAACACATTCTCCATTAATCTGAAGAACCCGTTCAAGAGGCAGAGAACTATATAATCATACAAATGGTTCAATGGCAAATATTTAATGATTACTTATTTAATCATATCATTATCAGTTGTATAGGCAAGTCTCTGAAACCCCAACAGATCTTATTTCGATGTGCCTTAATTTTCAAGAGAACTTCAGAAAGGTCATTAAGGATTAAGAGAAGCCATCAATGTTATAAAAATGTTGTGTCTTTTTGAGCTGTTAGAGAATCAGAACATTAAGTTTAACTTATGCCAACTGAACAATGTTCAAAATAAAAAAAATAAAATTAACCTTAAACAATAGTCCCAACACGAACCATTGATGAAAAGTAGGCTAAAATAGACAGGCAAAATGTGAATACAAATATCTCCAACATTTCAATTCCAGAGCACAATTAATAAGCAAGCTCTTACAAGATTCATACTTAAAACTCACAAAGTATACTCTTAAAAAAGATGATTCTTTAAGGGTTCTTTACAAAAAACAATGGTTATACATAGAATCATGAACACTCACAGAACAATTTCCATGCTTAAATAGTTCTTTGCATGGTGAAACTGTTCTTCAGATTGATGGAGAATGTGTATGGCTCTATACAGCACCAAAAAGGGTTCTGCCTCTGTTACAATATTAAGCTTGTAACAGCAGAACCCTTTTTGTTTCTATATAGGACCATACACATTCTCCATTAATCTGAAAAAACATTTTAGCATGCAAATGATTCTTTGAATGTTCATGGTTCTATATAGAACCACTATCTTTACTAATGAGCCCTTGAAAATCTTTTTAAGAATATAGCTATAACTTTATGCAAATTAGACATAACATGTAGAACAGTTATTGTAAAAGATATGATTGTGACTGTAGGACTAATTCACAAACAATTTAAGATTCATTCTTATACAAAATCACTGGATTAGGTCAGTCGGCAAAGATGAAGTTCATGGGGGTCTGTTCATGCCATGTTCATGACCTTGGGCAGCATTGCCATGAAAGCCAGGATAGTATGGAGATAAACATGAACAGGTTCATGTTCATATGAGTAGTAAACATCACACTCTAAGCGTGTGGTGTTGAAGAAATAAGAGGAAGAAATAAACATAAACAAAGCACAAACACATACAAATTACACAAACAAAAAAGTCAGGACTTCTTTTGGTAGCTCGCAGCAGGCCTTCAAGTCCTGAAAATATGGTACTTTTGTTTCTTGTAGTCAGTTTTCCAAATAAATTTTTGTAGAGTTGTGCATCACAAACACTTGTCAAAGTGTCGGTCATGACTGACCCTGTTTGATATCAGAAAACAGAGCTGACCTGCAACATCATATATATGATGCCTCTTAGGGGTGTAATGGTACGTGTATTAGTTCTAACAAAAGGTGAGGAAAGCAGCTATTAAGGTAAATAAAAAGAGAAGGGATTCAAAAAAGTTGACATTAAATGAACAAAATAAGACTCATCCAACTCCACGGCCTGCAGTATTTCTGCGCCTGCGAAGAGATTCAACAAATTTCTAAAAATTCTTCAGTGTTTCCCTCTGCTCCTAACTACACAATCAGAACTGAAGTTGAACTTTCACTGCACAGATTAGTTAACATTAGTGACTTCCCCCATCAAGTGCAAATGACCCGCTGCAGGGTGTACCAACTAAAGTTAACTTAGGGGGTGCTATTCGGCACCAGGTGGAACAACCTGTAACTTGCACTATTGTCTGTTCAACAAAATTAGAAGAAACCTAGCTTTAGGCATTTGACTGTTTTTTGTTGCTTTTTCCGTTGTACCAAACTCATACTGAACCATGATGTCCAAACCATGGTGTGAACTAGGCTGTACCATTCTGTGTACCATTACACCCTTAATGCCTATTCATATAAATTGTTTGTTATCCTCTTATAATCTAATTAGCATAATGTGTATTTATTGTTCTGTTTTTGTTGTGTTTACTTATTGTCGTTATTGCATTTATTATACATTCTGCATGCGTTTCACACTGTGCTATGTGTATGTGGTGCTGTTGTGTTGCGTCATGTCACCTAAAGAACGGTACGTCATTCCAGTGTGTACAAGTTATATTGAGGAATGACAAAAACCGCTTGACTTGATTTGAGGTTACATAACTCATGACACCCTACGTTATAAGAAAAATCAGGTTTCTTGATTAGACAAACTCATATCATGAGCTGTCTCCCCCTCCTTAGCACATTTATGGGTCTTTAAAGTATTTGAATGCCTGAAACTCTTCCCACACTCCGAGCAATGATACGGCTTTTCTCCTGTGTGAATGCGCTGATGTTTTTGAAGACTACTCTGCTGATTAAAGCTCTTCCCACACTCTAAGCAATTATACGGTTTCTCCCCTGTGTGAATGCGCTGGTGTGTTTGGAGGCTACTCTGTGCAGTAAAACTCGTCCCACACTCTGAGCAGTGATACGGTTTTTCTCCTGTGTGAACACGCAGATGTTTTTGGAGATGATTCTGACGTGTGAAGCTCTTCCCGCACTCTGAGCAATCATAAGGTTTCTCTCCTGTGTGGATGCGCTGGTGTGTTTGGAGATTACTAAGTACAGTAAAACTCTTCCCACAGTGTGCACAAAGATACGGTTTCTCTCCTGTGTGAACGCGCTGATGGGTTTGCAAACTATTCTTCTGAGAAAAACTCTTCCCACACTCCGAGCAGTGATACGGTTTCTCTCCTGTGTGAATGCGCTGGTGTGTTGTGAGGGAACTTCCATCTTTAAAACTCTTCCCGCACTCTGAACAGTAATACGGTTTGTCTCCTGTGTGGATGCGCTGATGTGCTTGGAAATGGCTCTGTCGAGTAAAACTCCTCCCACACTCTGAGCAATAATATGGTTTCTCGCCTGTGTGAATGCGCTGGTGTCTTTGGAGACTACTCTGTACACTGAAACTCTTCCCACAGTCTAAACAGTCAAACGGTTTCTCTCCTGTGTGAATACGCTGGTGTCTTTGGAGGATATTCCACTGAGTAAAACTCTTCCCACACTCTGAGCAATTATATGGCTTATATCCAGTGTGAATTCGCTGGTGTGTTTTGAGGATACTTCCATCTGTAAAACTCTTCCCACACTCTGAGCAGACAAATGGTTTCTCTCCTGTGTGAATTCGCTGGTGTGTTCTGAGGATACCTCTACCTGTAAAGCTCTTCCCACATTCTAAGCAGTGATAGGGTTTCTCTCCTGTGTGAGTGCGCTGGTGTTTTTGGAGACTACTCTGCTGAGTAAAACTCTTCCCACAGTCTGGACAGTCATACGGTTTCTCCCCTGTGTGGATGCGCTGGTGTGTTTTGAGGGAACTTCCGTTTTTAAAAGCCCTCCCACACTCGGAGCAGGGGTAACTTCTTTCCTTGTCTCTACATGTTTGCATTTTTATGGGAACTGCATTAGTGTGGAGACCACCAGATGACATTTGCTCAGTACTTGAGCTTCTTCTTGAAGTCATATTCTCATATTTTACCTCTTCATTACATCAGTCTGACACTTTATTCTTGGTGGAATCATGTCCTGCTGTTTTTATGAAGGCAAATTTAAACTGTGGAAGAAAGTTTAGGAAAACAAGACTTAATAGGACATCATGTAATTCTGCAGAAGTACAATATATTAACACAGTACTGTGCCAATGTTCAGAGACAACCTTTCATTTACTTAATTTCCATTTCCAATCATCCCAATCTTTAGTGTGTCCATTGTTCCTTTATTACAGCTTCCATTCTTTTCAGTAGACTAATTTTCAGAAATCTGCAGCCACACCTCCAATAAAACTACTATGATGTAAAATAGACACTCAAATATTAATTGAAAGTTCACTTTTTAGCCTAATTCACCCACAATATGACATGCATCTGCCTTGGTCTGCCTCATGGAGGTGCTGTAGCAAACTGGTTCACCCAGTTGGTCTTTCATAGCCTAGCAACCCTAATTATGCCCGGGATGCCTCTTTAAAATGTGCCATAGCATATTTGTAAATCTGAAAGCTCACCAAATGTCTGAAGAGTTTGGTGTAAAGAGAGAATTGTTACTGTAAGATCTCAGTTAATGTGTGAAACAGCACATTAACAAACTAGAAAAGAGCATTACCTGAAGAATTGATAAATCAAGCATGTTGCTACCATTAAAGCTAGTATCACCATTAGTATTACCACTAAAGCTATTGCGAGTGAGGTGGCAGCCAACCAACACTGGAGTAGTCGGCCAAAATGGGACCCCCCTGAGTTACATGAGATGTTTTGCACACTGAGTAATACCTCCTAATTAATGTTTAATTGACTGCAAAAATTTAGCACACAAAGGTAACCACAGCACCTCCCACCACGGTTACTGTCTTGAACTTTACATGTAAATAATATTGTATTTTGCCCTTCAGGTTAGATACTAATTGCATTTCATTGGCTCTGTACCTTATATGACAAAATGACAAAGTTGAATCTAATCCAATCATACTGGTAATGCATATGTCAATATCCCAAAAAATAGAAAGTTATTATTAAATATTTTGATTTAGTAATTAATTAACAAAGACTGCTTCTGCAGGAAGTTTGTATATTTTGCATCCTAAAGGCTAGAGGACACTGACAAGTATTTGGTTGGTGTACCATACCTCTAGAATGTTCTCTTCCCATTCACTCTAGTTCATTTTACGTCTTACTTCTCCTTTATTTGTCATCTCTCCATGCATGTCTCCGAGGATCAACGAAAAACACACTGCAAACACTGTGATAAAGAGTTAATCAGGTTCTACCTCGATGAGAGCAGCTCCTGTTTGTCTCCCTCCAACAACACTGTAGAAGCGCGGAGGCGTGGACTGCTGATCGGAGCCGAGCTTCTACTTCTCCGCTTTATTGGGGTGGAGAAGCTAAGTGATACAATTAACGCCCCCACCTGGACTGCAGGGGAACCACACTGAAACAGTTAGCGTCCCCAGCTGTACTGCAGGGGAAACCGTACTGGGAACATTTATTATTAGACTGCAAGTAGTAAGCGATTACAATAATGTCTAAGATAAAACAAAATATGCCTACATTTAAAACGTAACTTAATTACTGTCATTTTAAAAAGTAAAGGAAAAAGGAAGGAGCCAAGGGGATAGAATTTACAGGAATTAATTTACAGGGATATATTTCAACTCCATTTCCAAATTGTGATGCTGTGCAAAATGTAAATAAAAACAAAATACAATGATGTGCAAAACATTTTAAAGCATATTGTTTCTGTAGTTGAAATCACTAATGTGCTCAGGAACACTTCTGAAAACCATTATGAAAACAATGGACTGAGATGAAGTGGAAAAGTGTTCTGTGGTCTGACAAATCAAAATTTTAAGTTCTTTTTGGAAATCATGGACACTGCATTCTCCAGGTTAAAGAGAAGGGCCATCAGGCTTGTCAGCACACAGTTCAAAGGCCAACATCCGTGATGGTATGGGGGTGCATTAGTGCACATGGTATGAGTGACTTGCACATCTGTGAAGGCACCATTAATGCTGAATAATATGTACATGTTTTGGAGCAACAAATGCTGCCATCCAGATGATGTCTTTTTTACAGAAGCCCTTGCTTACTTCAGCAAGACAATGTCAAACCACATTCTGCATGTATTACAACAGCATAGCTTCATAGTAAAAGAGTCTGGGTGCTAAACTGACCTGCCTGCAGTCCACACCTGTCACCACTGATAACACGTGGTGCATTATGAAGCGAAAAACATGACAAAGGAGAACTGTTGAGCAGCTGAACTGTTGAGCAGCTATGATGATGATGGTGAAGGTGATGCAGCACAGTGGTAAACATGCCCCTGTCCCAAATTTTTTTAAACATGTTGCTGGCATCAAATTCAAAATGGACATATATTTAAAAAAAAAAAGATATTTCTCAGTTTCAACATTTGATTAAATACAGAGTGTAAATAATTTCCAGTTTTATTTACATTTTGTAGTGTCCCACCTCACGTTCCCAGGGTTGTAAGGAAAGGGCGTATATCAATTGTCTTAATAGATTTTGTTGTTTTTTTAGAAAAGATAATAGAACTCATGTATTGTTTAGCTTCTATTTTAAATTTGATAAATTATTAAATATGCATTCATGAATACAATGTTCTTTGATTTTGCTACACTGTTAAAAAAAAGATGGTTCTTTAAGGGTTCTTTGGTAAAAGGAAGGGCCTGTTTAGCATCATAAATCCTATATGGAACTATTCCATGCTTAAATGGTTCTTCGCACAGTGAAATTATTCTTCAGATTGATGGAGAACGTGTTGGTTCTGTAGAGAACGTATTTTAAGCTTAAAACAATAATAGTCACCAAAAAGGGTTCTATTATTGTTTTAAGCTTGACATTGTAACAACAGAAGAACCATTTTTAAGTGGGTAGAAGCCACAAAAAACTGTATACAGTGAAAAACAAACTTTTTGAAAGTGGTCTCTAGAGCTTTCCAGAGTAAACCCCTACAAATGGGGGGCTGTGTATGAAAAGGGTGCAATTTCCACCCCGGTCACTTGAATTTGGATGTTAATAATCTCATGCTGAAGCTGAAAGTCTGAAGTTTGAGCTCATATTCACTACTAAATTTAAACTCCAACATGCTGTGGTTGACAGCTCAAATAACAGTAACTTTGTCAACATCCAAATATTTATAGACCTGACTGTGTATACATTTTATTTGCCAAAAAAGACAAACCCCAAACAATTTCAGCATAGTAGTGCTTTTATTTGTTTTCAACTTGACTCAATAGAAAATAATAAAACAATCCAAACACACAAAAAGCAAAGATTTGTCTACTTTTTGTGTATGGGGTCACCCAAACCTAGAATAGCAATTAATAAGTGAGCTACTACAGGACTCATTTAAAAACCTGCACAAAGTGGTTACAGCTTTATGCAAATTAGACAAAATATATGCATAGAATTGTCACAAGAAAAGCTATGATTACTAAAATGAATGACAAAGATTTACAGATTAACTCTTGCCCCCCCAGACAAAATATCACTGAAGATCATTTAACAGTTCATTGCTGCATCTACAAATGCGAGAAACAATTCTGATGTCCATCCTGGTGACATCTGCAGCAACAATTCAGCTCAAGTTCAAGGTCTCCAATGGTCCCAAATAATCTCCCAGAGTCACTACATGTCATTTCTATTACCTTGGCTAGTATCACTGTTTGAAGAATAACATGAACAAGTCCTTATCTGAGTTGTGGAACACTTCACCCTCTCAGCATGTGGTGTTCAAAAAAAAATAGGAGCAAGAAAAAAAAACAATGTATAAAAACTTACAAACTATACAAATAAATCTGAACTTTTGCTTTTTTTCATGTAAACATGCAGCATGGTATGAAAATATGGTGCTTTTGTTTCTTGGATATCATCATCAGACCCTGCTTGATATCAGAAAACACAGTTCAGCTTCCTAAATTAGGAACTTCTGGAGGTGCTATGTGACCTCAGATTGCTACATAAACCGGCCCCAAGGACCACATGGTGGCCTGAAGCCACTGCCCGGGGTAGCGGGTAACAAAAACAGTGCCCAATAGAGGGAAGCATGGCAAACACTCGGATATTTATGCTAGACTAAAGACTAATCCTCATATTCCTTGGTCTGCACGTTGCACATGACCTCACCTGGAACCTCAACAACAATCGCCTAGCCGAGAAGGTCCAACAGAGACTTCCCCCCTTCCAGCCTCAAGACGTTCTAGAGGGGGACAGTAGAGAGCATCCTGACCAGCTGTCTCACTGGATGGTATGGCAACCGTGCAGTCTCTGACCCTACAGCGGATTGTGAGGACAGCTAAGAAGATCATCAGACTGTCTTTACCCACTCTAGAGTATCTGTGCCGCCACCACCACCAGACTTCACAACAGCTTCTTCCTTAGGACTACTGAACACACTGACACCCACCAACATCCACCTGGACTAATCTAGATCCTTTCCAACATCCAATATAGGGCTGAGCAATATGGCAATATTTATCATTACTGTGATAAATTACATCATGATACATCACAATATGCTTTTTTATGGATATCATCAGTAGTTCCGACCTGCATGTTTGATTATAAAGAGAGGACAATTAAGTTTTTAATTAGAATTTTAATTAGATTTACTGCAGCGCAGTGTAAGAAATGTTGAATACAAACCACTGGATCAATTGTTTTTGATAGTATTTTTTATAAGGTAATACTTTGTCTGCTCCAAGGTTTTAGATGTCAGGAAAAATAAATATTGTGACATACTGTGTCACATCGTGTATCATGAGAACTTACTGAAGTATCATGATATTACATTTTTGCCATATCGCTCATTTTTAATCAACCACTGATCACACACTCCTTTACCTTCACTGCACACCTGGACTTTTAATCCTTTAAATGCTGCTGAGGGACACATTCATACCCCAATCTGTCTGTATAGTTTACAGTGAACAGTGTTTGCACTAGTTTCTCCATATCTATGCATGTTCCCGTTCTTATTTATTGTTTTTTTTTTGTTGTCCTGTCTAATTAGCAGCTTGTGTATTTGTTGTCCTGTGTATTAACTGCATATTCAACACTTGTTTGATGCAGTTTTTTATCTCGACTGTATTTAGTTCTGTGTAATCAGCTGCTGTTATGTTGCCTATGGACCTGAAGAACATTTCCTTCTAATCTATACAAGCTATGTTTAGGAGTGACACTAAAGACTACTTGACTTGAATAACAATTTACTTTGCTGAAAGCTATTTAATACAAGTTACATAACTCATGATAACTTAGAAAAATCAGGTTTCTTGATTAGACAAACTGATATCATGAGCTGTCAACTCTCTCTTAGCACATTTATGTGTCTTTAAAGTATTTAAATGCCTGAAACTCTTCTCACACTCTGAGCAAGTGTACGGTTTCTCTCCGGTGTGAACACGCTGGTGTTTTTGGAGACTACTCTGCTGAATAAAACTCTTCCCACACTCTAAGCAATCATATGGTTTCTCTCCTGTGTGAGTGCGCTGGTGTAGCTGAAGACTACTTTGTGCCGTAAAACTCTTCCCACACTCTGAGCAGTGATACGGTTTTTCTCCTGTGTGAACGCGCAGATGTTTTTGGAGATGATTGTGTCGAGTGAAGCTCTTTCCGCACTCTAAGCAATCATACGGTTTCTCTCCTGTGTGAATGCGCTGGTGTATATGGAGATTACTCGCAACAGTAAAACTCTTCCCACAGTCTGCACACAGATACGGTTTCTCTCCTGTGTGAATGCGCTGATGGGTTTGCAGATGATTCTGTTGAGTAAAACTCTTCCCACACTGTGGGCAGTGATACGGTTTCTCTCCTGTGTGGACACGCAGATGTTTTTGGAGGTGATTCTGTCGAGTAAAGCTCTTCCCGCACTCTGAGCAGACATACGGTTTCACTCCTGCGTGAATGCGCTGGTGTGTTTTGAGGGTACCACCATCTTTAAAACTCTTCCCACACTCTAAGCACTGAAACGGTTTCTCTCCTGTGTGGATGTACAGGTGTGTTTGAAAGTGACTCTGTCGAGTAAAACTCTTTCCACACTCTGTGCAGTAATACGGTTTCTCTCCTGTATGAATGCGCTGATGTCTAAGCAGATTACTCTGTACAGTAAAACTTTTCCCACAGTCTGAGCAGTAATACGGTTTCTCTCCTGTGTGAATGCGCTGGTGTCTTTGCAGGACAATCCACTGAGTAAAACGTTTCCCACAATCTGAGCAGACATACGGCTTATCTCCAGTGTGAATGCGCTGGTGTGTTCTGAGGGTACCCCCTTCTTTAAAACTCTTTCCACACTCTAAGCAGTGATATCTTTTCTCTCCTGTGTGAATTCGCAGGTGTATTTTGAGAGAACTGACATCTTTAAAACTCTTCCCACACTCTAAGCAGCGAAACGGTTTCTCTCCTGTGTGGATGCGCTGGTGTTTCTGGAGATTACACTGTTGAGTGAAACGTTTCCCACAGTCTGTACAATCATACGGTTTCTCTCCAGTGTGGATGCGCTGGTGTATTTTGAGGGAACTTGCATCTTTAAAAGTCTTCCCACACTCAGAGCAGGAGTGAGTTCTTTCCTTGGCTGTGCAATTTTGCATTCTTTCATGATCTTCGTCAGTGTGGAGACCATCAGACAACATTTGCTGAGTACTTGAGCTCCCTTGGGACATCATTTTCTTAAAGTTTATCTCTTGATTACATCAGTCTTACATTCCTCTTCATGGCATCTCCTGCGTTTTGAAGGTAACTGTAGAGAAAAGTTTAGAAAAACAAGCGTTATAATAGAACATTGTTCAATTAATTTAATACACACACACACATATACATATACATACACATATACATATATATATATATATATATATATATATATATATATATATATATATATATAGACAGAACACTTCGTAGTTCTATAGTAACAGACTGTTGTTCATCTGTTTCTCTGCATACTTTCTTACCCTGTCCTTCAATGGTCAGGACACCCACACAGCAGGTATTACTTGGGTGGTGGATCATTCTCAGCACTGCAGTGAGACTGACGTGGTGGTGGTCGTGTGTTAGTGTGTGTTGCGTTGATGCGAGTGGATCAGACACAGCAGTGCTGCTGGAGTCTTTAAACACTGTGTCCACTCACTGTCCACTCTATTAGACACTCCTACCTTGTCAGTCCACCTTGTAGATGTAAAGTCAAAGACGACAGCTCATCTGCTGCTGTACAGTTTGTGTTGGTCATCCTCTAGTACTTCATCAGTGGTTGCAGGACGCTGCCCACAGGACGCTGTTGGCTGGATGTTTTTGGTTCTCAGTCCAGCAGCGACACTGAGGTGTTTAAAGACTCCAGCAGCACTGCTGTGTCTGATCCACTCAGACCAGCACAACATACACTAACACACCACCACCACGTCAGTGTTACTACTGTGCTGAGAATGACCCACCACCCAAATAGTACCTGCTCTGTGGGGGTCCTGACCACTGAAGAACAGGGTAAAAGGGGGCTAACAAAGTATGCAGAGAAACAGATGATGGACTACATTCTGTGATTGAAGAACTACAAAGTGCTCCTATATGGTCAGAGCTCATTAAATGGGCAGTGAGTGTAGAAACAGTGAACAGGTTTTAATCGTTGTATACACGCAAACATCACTGTGCCAAATCAGACCACCTTTCATTTATTTAACTTCCAGTCAATGCAGCCATTAACATAAATATGTATGTGTTTGTTTATTAGAATTGTTTTAAGTATTCCAGTATTTAATGCTTTGCCTTAATTACAGATCCCATTCTTTTTGAGAGACTTGCTTTCAATATTTCAAATGAATCAGCAGGAATATTTTTCCTCCTTCTTGTAAAACTCATAGTTCAGTCTTACAAGTTGGTTGCATTTTCTGCTTCTCATGCAATTAAGTCATGATCATCTCAGCAGTGTACCTGAGGTCATTATCTTGCAGTTTCGATTTGATTGCCCCCCAAAGATCTGACTCTCTGCCTACATGTATATGTACACGTACACACACACACACACACACACACACACACACACGGCCCTAGATCAAACTAATATCAGACCTTTCATGTGCAGACACTGTTTGGCTACAAAGAGACAACAAGAGAATCAGATCATAGTCAGAAAACATTTCAGAATGAGTGGGACTCAAATCCTGCAAATTACATGCGAGTGTAGAGCAAGTTCACAAGCCAGCAGCACTTCTAGCAGCAGCATTACTTTTGCCACACAATCTTCTCCATTTACTGAAAGGGTCCTTAAATGTACAGCAGATCTGAGGGAACTTCCCCTCGCTGATCAAAGGAGGAAGAGATATTTGTAATAACAAATGCAGTAACATTCATAGCAGAAAACCCTTAAAGTCTACACTTTAAAAAGATTATTTAGTAAAGACAACAGTGCTGTTTAGAACCATGAATTCTACATAGAACCACTTGCATGCTTGAATGGTTCTTTGCATGGTGAAGTGTGTTGTATATGGTTCTATATACTACCAAAAGGGGTACTGCTATTGTTAGTGCCCACTATATTAAAACTCATACATATTTATTAATGTCTAATTCACTGCTATATTTAGTATTTTAGAACGCTGACAGTCAATAATCCTAATGTAATTAATCTTCGCGAATAATTTGGACTACACGAGGGTGAAACTGGCTTCCTATTCGACAGCTTATTGTTCGAATTTTCCTGTTCCACCTTAAATGGCGCATCTGTTACATTTTGGCAACTCAGACATTATAATAATATCTGCTGCGCCATTTAAGGTGGAACGGGAAAATTCGAACAAGAAGCTGGCGAATAGGAAGCTAATTTCAGTCTCGTCGAGACCACCTCCTGCTGACTGCGGTGCGTTATGCTTAGACCGGAAACGTAAAGTGATAAAGGCAAAGGGTGAATAAAACGAATAATTTGTACTTAATGGCCATTTTGAATACGCACAGACAGAACGTACGTACTTGTAACGTAATTACCTGCTTCAGAAAGGTTTCTGATGGAACAGGCAAGCTGAGAATGTGAAAACGGCGTTTTAGGGAAGTATTATTCTCAGTCTCTAACACAAATACAACCACAACTGCAAGATGAATCTGAATAAAGGCTGCATCTGTGGCAAATCTTACTGTTTTACACCCTAAGCGAACATCTCTCCACTCAGTCCTCCAAGAAACAATGAAGAACACACTGTAAACACTGTGATAAAGAGTTAATCAGGTTCTACCTCGATGCGAGCAGCTCCTGTTTGTCTTCTCCAACAACACTGTAGCAGCGCGGAGGCGTGGACTGCCGACCAGAGCGGAGCTTCTGCTTCTCCGTTTTAGTGGGGTTGGAGAAGCTCATTGATACAATTAACGCCCCCACCTGGACTGCAGGGGAACCATATTGGAAACATGTAATCACAGAGCCTGTAGCGCTTTTCTTTTTTTATTGCAAATAACCGTTTATACCCTAACGAAATAACAGTAGGACACATAAAGGCTCAACATTCACATATCAAACTAAATTTCTTTATGAAACATCAGAGTAAAAAGAAAAGTAAAAGAAAAGAAAAAGAAAAAATAAAAACATAAGAGAATACCACTGGGATTTAAATAAAACTGAAAAGCTTTAACACAGCAATGGATTTACAAAAATTCTTGTTTATTTTTTTTTTACTAATGAAGATATGTAATTACACAGATATGCATGTACAAAGTTCACGTGAAGGTACAGGGAGATTCACTCGAAAGAGGCCCCGAATATTCTGTACTAACTCTCTCTAGGACGAAGCGATCTGAACGAAACAACGTGCAATGAGCTCCTCAGTATATGGAGCTTCGAATGCGCCGGGATGCCCCTGTGTCAGAGCGATGAGGTAGGCGCCGGACAGCCGTCGCAACGTTTAAACTCCGTTTGCAACTTCCGGGTGCATACCCCCCGTACCCCTTAGTGTGCTTGGCAGAAAACAGATTTCACTTCCGGCATCGCATGTAATGCAATCGATTACACATACGTCAAGGTATGTAGCTTATTTTTTTGGTTCAGATTGCTTCATCCTAACGGGAGTTACAACAGAATATTCGGGGCCTCTTTCGAGTGAATCTCCCTGTATTTTTCTGGCAAATTTCATTATTATTCACTTATGTAAATAAAATTAGCTTTTGTTATGATCAAGTTTATTAAATGATGGGTAAATAAACGATCATAAAAAAAGTGGGCTTTTCTTTCATCTAAGAGGAGCCTGGCTTCTTCCTATTTCTCTCATTATATCAAAAACATGACTGTAAAAGGCAAAAGGGCGCCCATGAGTGAGTTCTCATTGAAACTAAACCACTTGTCCAGGACCTTCTTTTAATTTTGGAAAACAGAAGGATGTATTTTACTAAAAAAGTGAAGAAAATTTAACTGTATATTTTTTTTTTTACAGCAAACAGGTTTTGGCCAGCAGGGTGCTGAATTACAGAGAGCTGATTGGTTAGCATTACTGCTATGGAGTACAAATTCTTTAACATTACCACTACTCAAATCAAATCAAATCAAATTTATTTGTATAGCGCTTTTTACAACTGATGTTGTCACAAAGCAGCTTCACAGAAATCCGTTTAGAACAAAGTTTCAACATGACATGTAAATCCTCCAGGTGAGCAAGCCAGGGGTGACAGTGGCAAGGAAAAACTCCCTCAGTTGAGGAAGAAACCTTGGGAATTTTGGGAAAATTATTATTCTACTAATATTAATAGTAATAGTAGTAATAGTTAGGAGACTTCTGAGTGCTGATTGGTTAGCATTACTGCTACTGAGTGCTGATTGGTACCGGGAACTGGACAAGAAGTAGTTTGTTTTTTACTCTTATTGTTAAGTGCCATCAAGTAAATTCAGACTACTGGCAACAGTGTGGATAATATTTTTCCATGTTATCCTATTTTCTCTTCGGGCTTTTAAAAGGACTTGGAGACCTTTCTAGTGGAAATGTGTAGCTGCACACAATGTGCAGAACATTGTGTAACGTGGATTGTGCTTTGCTCCCTTCCCCAAGTGGATGAATGAAAGAGAATTCAAAAGTTAGTGAAGGACGCGTTTTCTGAGTGAGTTATCTATTATTGTAATCATACCTTCATCAGTATAACGTAGATTTTGACATTATTTGATGTCTAAACATTGAGCCAAATCTTATTTTTGTAAAGATGTACGCTGTGGTGTAAAAAAAAACCTCCTAACCTGACTTTTTTACAGGGCGACTCGCAGCAGCGCATGCTCAACTTGTTTTTCTTCTTCTCCATCAGTAATCACACTTCTTTCAGTTTTACTAAAAACATCCTACATGATACTGCTTTAATGGCTCGTTCATGATTTCTCTGTATCCATTAGTCTTGTTGCTGGGTATAGTCTTTGTTTTTTACCTTCAACATTAAATCAAATATAATTGCATTACTTTTGTTCACTTTATCAAGTAGAATCTGAACATGAGTTAAATATGTTAATTTTTTTTTTTTGTTTACATCTGAAGTGTTTTGATGTAGGTTTAGATGTGAGCTCCCCAAATAGCAGGTGACACTGATACATTACAGATTTTTCATCAAAATCATGATTTTTGTTGAGGCTGAAATTTTAGTGTCAGCAGTTTGTTGGGACAATGATAAACTATCAGTGTAACCTACCAGCTCTTAACATTGATTTATAATAAGTCTATTTGACTTAACCTGATTGGTACAGTGCATCTAGTTATATTTTAAATAAACTGAAATCTGACAGCAACAATAAAAAACCCTTCCTGTTTGCTAGTATGTCATACAGAGTATGAGAGCATGTTTTTCATATTTTTTTATTGATCGCTTAAGCACAATTTTGCAAACAGGGCTCCTTTTGTCCAAACACTACACACAGTTCACACAGCAACACACAGAGGTAGCAGAACATCTCATATATTTTGCAAAATGAAACACTTAATTTAAAACTATACAACAATTGATAACAACCCAATTTTGTCATGGTATGGCACACACATTCATATGAGTTCATACGATCTGATTTTGTTTTAACCACTCTTAAAATATCTGCTTTTCTAATCATTTAGGGTTTGATTTTATTCAGAGAGAAGTAGAGTAAAAAACATGAATAACCAAACACAACACAGCGCTGCAAACTGATGAACATGTTTATTCCTCTCCACACTACATCAGTCAGTACATCCATGCATTTTCAAAGGCTGCACTTTGCACTTATTCAGAATAGAACATTTTCTAGATAGAATACATTACGCAGCAAAAACATTTGTGGAGACAAAAAAAAAGTATGAATTAAAAAGAAAAAACTCACCTGTTACTTTTTTTAGTGCTATCACCTGACTGGTGAGTTTACAATTAAGCACCTAAGTGTCTGTGCACCTGACAGCTGTGTTTGATCAGTCGGTTTACAGGTGTGATGTTTTGAAAGGTGGCAAAGAAGTGACATCACGTTAGATTTCTGTTTTTTTTTTTCTGTGTTTAGCTGAAAGTGTGAGGCTGAGAATGAGCTTATAGTTGTGCAGATCTGGTCTGAGGTTTTGCTCCTTCAGTGTCAGGTTTCACTAACTGTGTTATTTCTAATTTTAATGTGTAAGCCATCATAAAAAAAGTTAAGCAATGCTTTAGATATACTAAGTAAATTCAGGTTTAAAAGGTCAAATTTCAGCTTCCCGTTAGACTGCATATAAACTGCATTTATGTGTACTGTACCATCAAGTGATTAAAATAACGTAAGTGTGTGTTTTTTTTTTCGGCTGTTAATGAGAGTCAGAACATAAAGGGTAACTTCTGCCAGTGGACGACAACAAAATCTCAGAATCTCTTATAATCTGTCATCATCTTGGCATTGCAGTGGCACTGTAGTTGTCCTTGAACAAAATTAACATTTAAACAATTACAGACCCACAAAAATCCACTGATGAACAGTCAACATTTAAGCATGAATACGACGGAAAATCAAATCAAACATATCTCCAACATTTCAATTCCAGAGCATGATCCATAAGCAAGCTCCTATAAATTTTATTTAAAATCCAGACCTGCACAAAGTAGTAATAATGGGCTTGGGTGACATGACAATGATACTGTATACCACAGTATGCAAAAATGATGAGAGTATTTAAAAATTCTGAGGAGAAAAAAATTGTATTCCATGTCTGAACACATAAATGAACAGATTCCACCCATTTATCTTTTAGAGGGTTCACTGATTGGCGGTGTTGGAGCACAGGTGACACTAACAGAAAAAGCGGGGAAAATAATAGCATAATAGTAGCTCAGCTGCATTCGATTTCAGCTTTCATTCAAGCACTGGTTACTCGACTTTGCTCTCCTAATGGGTGCACTTACCTGGAATACCTTCATATAAGACTGTGTTAATAGAGAACAGAAAATACATGAAGCTGGAATCAGCTTTTTCAAATTTTCCTGTTCCACCTTAAATGGTGCAGCAATTAAATTCTAAAGTGCCAGAATGTAACTGCTGCACCATTTAAATTTAAGCAAGCTGATGAAAAAGAAGCCAACTTATTGGAAATTGGAAATTGTGCACTGTGTTGACTTATTGAGTAGCGTACTACTTCCCCTCCCTTTTTGAAACAACGCTAGATGAGACAGCAAAAAACGTGTTTTAAGTGACCTCTATCACCAGCAGCTGAGCTTTTTTTTCTATTCTCAAATACAGTTATAATGTACATCCCAGTGTCAGGAAGGTAGTAAGGTATGACAAAATATATGCTGCCCAATCTTAAGTTATAGCTTTATGCACATAACACAAAATATGCTTAGAATGGTTAGAATTAGTTCACAGGCAACGAATTAAAGAATGATTCTTGCACATAGACACAATATCACTGATTAAGGTCAGTCAACAAGTATGTTCATGCAGGTCACCAAATATCCATCCTGGTGATGTTTGTTAAGACCTCTAATGTTCTTGAACAAACTAAATTCCCTTCATGTCACTTTTATGATCTTGGGCAGCATGTCTCCAAAGTCAGATATGAGATTTGAACATTAACAAGTCCTTATCTCAGTTAGAGAAAGTTTCTTAAGGAAAATAAAAGATAAAGAAAAAACAAAGGCTAAAGATGTAAGTTCACCAGTTAAAACAATTGGCCTCATTCACCAATATCTTCCCACATTTTTTCTTAAACGTGTTCTCCGGAAAGGTCCCAAGACAAAGTCTACTTCAGATTCATGCATGTTCTTAAACTGCTGAATTGTTTGTGCCTTTATGCTCTTGAGTGTGTGTAGATTCTTGCTTGGTTGTCTTAATGACCATGACAATCCTGTCAGGAAAGGATTACCCCAATCTCCAGTACATTTTAG